ATTGTAAGTATTTACTATGGATTATGAATGACAACTAATCACTGTTTATGATACTAGTTAGTAGAATGACTGAATTCAAACCATCTGTGCTTCACAATACAACCTAAAATCGAGATGGGATTCCAATTCATAAGGACCGAGTGAGGCATGAATTAAATGATGTCATGCTAAACAAACGGCTCACTCGTACAAACAAACATCGACAGGTTCTCTTTTCTCAGTATTTCCAATTGCATTTAGCAATTTATATGTACTTGCCGAAGCTCATACATTGAACGAACAGAGTACATATTCTCATTTCTGTATACGTTGCAAGGAATTTGAATCTGAGAAGTAGAATGGCTCTAAATAGTGCAATAGCTCTGGATTTAATTGATATAAAGCATGTGATTGACATAATCATCGAACAGAAAACGCAATCTCTTCTGTTCACCGAAGTATTAGCAATAAAATAACGCAAACTGGATTTAAATATCCAGGGAAAGATGGTAATCAACTGATCACTACTGTGGTAGATTCATAGCTTTGACTAATATCACCTGCAATTACTTTCTTTCATTATTATTACTATTTTAATAGTTGAGATTATGAGTCAATTAAAGTTAGACCACCATAGAAAACCTGAAAGCACTGGACGACCATTTCGTCCAAGTATGGGGCTCCTCTGTAGTTCGTATCTACGATCCCACACACGAGACTTGAACCCAGGACCTCCCGTCTCTCGCGTGGACACCTAACCTTCGGACTACTTAACCGACATTCAGCACTGTTAATTTCTAACTTCAATTGATCCATGATCTTGCTCAAACCTTCATCTATTGTCTGAGGTGGATAACTGTTTCATACCCGACACAAATTGGACGCTACTGGCCACAACTTCTCACTAGAACTTCATGAAATATGTCTTGAAGCTAGTTATTAGTGATTACACGATTATTATTAAGGAGATTTTTGGAGATTGTAGTAATTTTAATCGTTGAATTCACGAGCCGATTTAAGTCAGACCACTCTTGAAAGCCTGGATGGCTATTTCGTCCTAGTATGTGACTACTCAGCAGTGCGCATCTACTATTCTGAACAAAGGACTCGAACCCTGGACTTCTGGCCTTTCGCGAGAATGTATGATTTCTACAACTGTTGTTTTGGTTTCATTCAGCTGCTAAGTTTATTTGAAATTATCAAGCGGAACTGTCAAACGCCTAATGGGTATAAATGCCCATTATTTAAACAGATGATTTGACAAACAGAAACAGAGGTACGAATGCAATAGCGAAATTCTTAACATTATTTTACTACCAAGATTATTAACTTTCTATTCAATGCTCAATTTATTTGAAACCATCAATTCCAACCTCGGTATTGATAGCTTTAGTTATACTACATTTATTTTGCTCATTTCTTTCTTATTTTGCGCTATACTACTTGCGAACAATCAGTAGTTTGATCTATACTAAGTTACTTTGTTTAATTAATATTGTTAGATGGATAGTGGCTAGCAGTGGAATCCAGTTTGACGCGCGTTTCGTCCTATTTGGGACTCGTCAGCTGGATGTGCCTGCATCTCAGAGTTCATGTTCACTTTGGGACTTGAACTCAGTACCTTTCACTTCAAACGCCATCACGTTATCCATTCGACCACTGAGTCCTGATAGCCACTTGCCTGTGCAGTGTTTTTTTTCTTTTGAAATTTTGTTTATAACGAATGGTTTTCCTATTTTCGAAAGGTGGAGCCAAACTCTTTTTCACTAACTATCTATTGATATTCTCATTTGACACTTATCTGTTTTTTGTCAATCAATGGTAATCTTAGTAATTATGTTCTTATTCACTCATTTAAGGGTAATAATTCTACTAGAGTGCCTTACAATTCAACTAGAGTTCCAAAATGAATCTTTCCAAGCTATATTTGACGACTTACTGACGTTGATCCACCTGGCGCCGATGTAAAAACAAGAGCTGTAATACGAACAGTTTTAGGACAATATCTTATGTGAGCAAGAAAGGCAAGTACGATGAAGAACTGATACCCAGATTGTAAAATTAAATATTTTATGTTTTGTTAAAACCTGTAATAACAACACAAAATAATATCATACTGGGTGCTTCAAATTGAAGTTCTTGTTTGTGTCCTTTCAAGGTCCTAGACTTGTTGGGATTAGGAGTATTTTTTTGACTAGACAGACAGGAGCGGCTGGATATCATTCAATTAATGGATAAGGCTTATCATTACCGCGTTCCCAGACAAAAGCCTCCAAATGCCCTGGTACGGCTGAGAGTGGGGAGAGTCACCTCTCCCTCTCCAAATGCTCTCACATGGTCACGCCTGTGTAGCCTCTGCCACACAAGTCCTACTCACTGCCTTTTCGTGACGGGGTGTTCTTTGCGAAATTGAGAGGACGAAAAGAGAATGTCCGGCGCTTTAACCAGGTTGGTGGACAAGGAAATTCCACATAGGGGAGTTGGAAAACCTTCATTCCAAACCAATCATCCACATGGGCTGGCTCCAGTATCCTGAGGGAACAAATGGTGTATGAACCAATCGTCGGTCACCGGCTACCATGGGACTGCATCTTCTCACGATACTCCACTGCCTTGTGGATCAAATCTTTAGGTCAAAGGCTCCGGGTGTGGCCCCCTAAGAAAACCACCTGCTTTAGTTTGGGTACCTGGGCAGTATCACAGAACTTACGCAAATCGAATGAGATTTGTGCGGCGCATATATATCTGGTGCTTCCTTGTACCAATATTTATGTGTTTAAATAAATAAATAATCGAGCAGATTCATGAGAGTTGTACTATGTCAAGTGGGAGGTGATTTAACCATTGAGAGTCCAATACAAATGAACGAACAATAATCGAGTGAATTTTTTATTACAAACCAAATTAGGTGTCATTATTTAAAAAGTCTCTTTATTTCATATGAATACGAAAATGAGATAGATGGCTAATAGGTCTCAAACCACATGCATAGCAAGATCGCACTAGTTACCAAGTGTTATTCCTGATTTTCATGTAAATCTGAAATACACAGCCATCTATGGGAGTTTTTAAAATCATTGTCTAAGATAACTTCGTTAATGTATTACCGTTCATTGGATAGTAGTGAAACTATTTATAATAGCCTACACTGAATTCAGTATAAATTTCTTTCTGGAGATTGCTTTCCACATTATGGACTGACACCTATAATGAAAATCGTCCCAAAACAAACTCTTGAATATGATAGACTTAATATTTATAATCTTATGTTAAACAACGATGCTAGTCAACAAAATGAAACCTTAAAGTCCTATATTATGAACTGACTTTGGTTAGAGAACCACTGTGCAGCACTCGCCGTAAGGCCTGAACCTCCAGAGTCTGCTGTTTGGTAGAGCTATGGATACACACTGCTGCGAGGTCCCGAATGAGGAGGATACTCTTGCCTAGAGTTTCTTAGTCTTCAATGTTTGTCTGTAATGTGAAACTTCAAATTTAAAACAATAATAAAAGCGTTTTCCAATTTGAGAATACATACAACATATCCAATGGTCAACATACAACCATAAGTCCGCTATAATTCACGACACCGATGAGACTATTTCCAGGTATTCCATAGGTAGTACAGGAAATCTTAGGATGTTTAGTTGTTGGTTTTTATTAAACAGATATTGATGGTGGTTTGCTATTCCAGTGACATTCAATTCAGATACGGTTACAAGAATTCGGGAAATACGAGACCAACCATTAGAAGCTTAAACGACAACTAAATAGGCTCATCGTGGGCTGAAAGATGCATTCATGAGAGCAAACACTGAACAATTTTAGATAAAATTCGCTGTGCAACTAGTAGTCGACTGAATATGCTTACAAACGCGTTGCTGAATCATTTCGAAGCAAGAACAAAAACTGGATATGTTTTCTGTTAAAAAGTGACCCATTCCTCGAGTTTTGGACCAGAATGCATCGGAGGACACCCTCCACCAATTATTTAGATTTTAAACTGCATCCCAAAACTTAGGCTTGACTTCTTGAAAATCGCCAATGCAGTTCATGGGAATTAAGATCTCACCTAAATAGTCCATAAGTACCCATCTATTTGCTTGTTGTAGAAAGTAACAGTTCATATACTCCCACGCATCTTCCCAACTGTCGGAGGCTTTTGGAAGTAATGAGGACCTAGTTGTGCCGTCGAAGTGCCAAGCATTTGTGGTGTCCCAGATATCGACAAACTATCAGCAGGAAATAGTAAGCGCTTACAGAAAGAACTGCTTTCAAGATCCATGAATACTGGCAGCTTTATCATTATTGTGAGCTTTCACCCCACCTATCCTGCTCTGGGTATCTACGGCAGCAGGGAGGTAGACCAGACGAAGTGTTCCATAACACACTACGTGTGTATAATTGCTCACACTCAGCAGCTCATGTGAAGTTGACAGCCAATCCGAGTGAGCACTATTGCCTGTGATACCGCAACTGAACCAAGCTGATAGTTTAAAATCTCGATCCTAACTGTCTCCAAGGCATTTACAACTTCCTCCCTAACTTCGCCAAACACTATAATATTGAGATGACGGGGAGGCTGAGTGGACCTAACTGGAGATATGGTGACCGAGATCCTTAATCGACTTTAATAAATAGCCCGATACATAGTATGAAAGACGAACAGACCCTTGGAACAGTGTGTCAGACTAAGCCATGTGAAATGACACCGTTACGGTCTCACTAGATTAGAGGTACATTTTATACCGGTACATGACTGACTATTCGCCTAGTATTAACGGATAACTACGAGCAGTAACCCATCTGTATGTTCGTTCTTGGTGATATGCAACCAACGGATTCCTCTCGAATTAGTTTGGACTACAAACAGTCCTACTTCACGCGACAGGAGTTAGGGCATGGTGTATCATACGATTTACTTTCATAGTCTATGCTACACCTGACCTTAAGAACTACTAGACAAATTTTAGTCACGATGAGTGACCTGTTCAGTGGACTGTGAATCGAAAACCGAGACCAAAGCAATGTAGATTTGTAATCAATTAATAAGAAACGAGTAGATAGTAAGAAAACGTACATCTGGCATAATACATAAGCAAAATGACATCTTTACAGAAATGCGTGATGAAAAGGAATAAGAACCATGTCACTGGCTAAATGCAAAACGATTCTGGATGCTAAGTGCGTGCTGCTGCAGTCGCAGCGCTTGGAGTGGTAGATCCAGAACGCGGGGTCCCAGAAGGCCGATTTTCAGGTGTGTGCCAGGTTAGTCTTTCTTCGTAAAACCGGATTACGATTTGTGGACATTTGATGTTCGCTTCGCGAGCAGGTACCAAGTCAGCTTCATCAGAATCTTTCCTAAAAAGTACGGGGAGACAATAAGTATGATGTAGCGAGTCACTTAATTCAAAGCAATTGTATGACAAGATCACATAAAGTGAGACCTACCATTTCATCAAAAACATCAGTTCACCACTTGAGTCTGTAGCTCCAATAATCCTTTCAGCTTTTAACCCCCGAGCAAACCCACGCGTCTTCCCCGCCGCCTTAACAACTTTCTGCTGGAAGAGAAAACACAACGACCAATATATTGAGATCACTAACAATTTTATAATGATAAGCCTAACAACATTAATGACTTAAATAATGTTCTGGAGAGACTAAAATACATGGACGACCTTTGAACGAATTTTAAATGACCTTGAGGAATATTAGCCAATCAGAAAACAGTTAGTACACAGTAAAAATAGATCATACAAAACTCAAAAATTAAAGGGGATACTGTTCTTTTAAATGACTCAAAAACTTATCAAGGTTAGATATAGGTTCAGAAGTTCTAAAATCATAGTGCATACGGTACAGGATCTCATCCATTTAGCCTCTGAATGGCTAGTACATATAGTCTCGCCAATGTTCTTAACATTAGTGAAACGAGAACATTCATTAGAACAATTGTACGAAAATGGATATAATCGACCCAATATTAGAATAATTTGAAATATTACCTTTTGCTCTTCATTTATAGATTCCTTTGGTTCATCTGGGACATTTGGTACTTCACCAGCTGACTCTTCCACACTCACGGGTATACTGGAGGTTCGCTTTTTCTTTGCGGGTTCGGGTACTTCTTCACCAATCTCCTTAGTGCTGTCTGAACTGAGTGACGATCCTTTAGATCTGTTTTTTGGTTTGGAATCAGTACTTGAAGTTCTGGCAGGACTAGTAAGTGATGTTCTTTCACGAGCTCGTCTCTCCTCGAATTCCTGTAAAGTTAACAAATCCAAGAGTTACGTCTTCGTGATGCCTTAATGGGTTCAAACCTCAAACCTGTATCGTGCAGTCTTATATAAGTAGGGTAAGTATATTTCTACTTAGGTTGATATGCTAACTACTTGATACAGAATCCCTTCAAATTATTATTCTTATGATGCAGATCAAACAAACTAGGTTATCAAGCTTAAACGAAAACAAAGCCAGCACACACTTTCTAAGGTTGAAATAAGTATTTAAAACCAATCTTATCTATAATTTCTAATAATTCACCTTGATTAAGTCAGGACAATCCAAGTTTTCTTCTGGCTCCCATGTATTGTCTTCCTCTGAGTAACCCTTCCACTTGAGAAAATACTCTTTTCTCCCATTTCTTATACGAACCTTCAGGATCTTTTCCACTTGAAACTCATCTTCACCCGCACTTTCTTCAGACTCCCGACTGTTCTTCAATGGCATAACAACTACAGAGCCTTGAAACCCGAGCGCAAATACAATTGAATCTCAAACACCCGCGACTGTCTCCACTAAACAAATGCAGATGCCAGTATTTTTCAGGGATACTTTACAAATTGATTGAGTCGGCTTCATATTTATTAGAAATTACATCTGCAACAATACAAGTGAAATTGCTTAACTGTATGCTTAAGAATACGTGTACAAACGTCTATTTACTTAGTATATTATTCATACACTTAAAGTTATTCATTTGAAGCCGTAAATAAATGAATAGCTCTGTAAGTCTTCGACACTGGATGGTGATCACATTAGTTTTGACGGGCTTACCTAGATGGTGGCACCAGATCACGAGTGGAAACGCCATGCTCAACATCCCCTGCAATCGCTAACCAGATTAGATCAGTCTATCCACAGTATACTGATAATCTATCAAATATATCTTCGAGCTTCTTCACTTCTGTGTTTTCATTTCACTGGGGTGAGTACGACTAACAATAGAAGGTGTGACTGGTTAAAGCGTTTTTCAACTCCGAATACCTGTGGCATCTTCATTTTAATTCATGGTGTTTCGTTTCCACAGCATTTCTCTCTCTCAAATGGTGTAGAAAGTACTTAATAAATTCCACTTTTCTCAAACAATGAGTATTTGTAAGCTATACAGGTTTTTCATGGATTATTTGAGGATGGGGATTTTCACGACAGTCTTTACTTTCTAAAGGATATTTAAAACTTATTTTAAGATTAATAGTACCGAATATCTTATCTCATACACATGAAAAAATACAGACGAAGACAACAAATATAGCAGCAGCCTCTGCATCAGTAGGTCTCAACGTACACAAAGGAAAAAGCAAGATTCTCAAATACAACAAAAAGAACATCAACCCAATCACACTTGATGGCGAAACTCTAGAAGAGGTGGAAACATTCACGTCCCTGGCAAGCATCATTGATAAACAAGGAGGATCTGATGCAGACGTAAATGCGAGGATTGGCAAAGCAAGGACCGCATTTCTACAATTGAACAACATATGGAACTCATAACAGCTGTCAACTAATCTCAAAGTGAGAATCTTCAATACTAACGTCAAGACAGTCCTACCGTAAAGAGCTGAAACGTGGAGAACTACTAAATCCATCGTCAAGAAGGTAAAAGTATTTATAAACAGTTGTCTACGCAAAATGCTGAACATTCACTGGCCGGATACCATCAACAACAGCCTTCTGTGGGAGAGGACAAATCAACTTCCAGCTGAAGAGGAAATTAGGAAAAGACGTTATAAGTGAATAGGACATACATTAAGGAAATCACCAATATGCATTACAGGGCGATCCCTAACTTGGAATCCTGAAGCGAAACGATATGAAAAGGATGAATGCTAGCTGGAAAGAACTGGAAAGGACTGCCCAGGAGAGAGTTGGATGAAGAATGCTGGTGAGCGGACTATGCTCCTCGACGAGGGGTAACAAGCGTAAGTAAGTACCAAATAAGTATATCACTGGCATTTATTGACGACCATTTAGCTAACAGTAAGCATAGTGTAGAAGATTTGCAGTTCAGAAAGATAATTTTTGTGGGGTTTAATTCCCCCATCTGGGTGGCTCATTCGTGATGTTTTCATCAAACTTCTGGACAACTTCTGATACATGAGGGCTACTTGACCTTCTACACACATTAACAGGCCGTTCTGCTGGCCTTAATTTCAACTGGTCGGTGTTAACCATTGTTCTGTCATTGTTTTCACGCTTGTTTTGGTTGCCATCTATGTCAACTCGATTTTTCTCCTTATGGTTGTTCTTGATCATTCACAATTAATTGAAAAATCCATACTATTTTGATATATTTATTGATTACCAATTGAATTGAATGCTAAGCTCCTAAAACTTTTGCTGCATACTGAATATTCTCCCTAACCAAGGTCACAATCTCTTCCCAGTCAGATGTGTGTTCGTAACTGTCCACGTACATTGATACAAGCGAAGATACAAAGTGGCATTCGATATCTGATTGGAGTTTACGCAAATGAAGATGAAGATGAATTTCTCTCTATTCGAAATTCTTTTCTGCAGCTTGAGCAATTCATTTTGTAGATGGTATCGGTTTTTTGTCATTTAATTCTTTAGTTTGCATAAGATTGGTTAACGTGATCTTGGTGGTTCATCCTCCACACTATTCCGAACGGCTTCTATATGTTTTTGAAATACGGCAATTGTTGATGGCTCATGAGCTATTTCCCTGTGACACTTGCAGAAGCCCAAAAACTTGGAAAAATCTATGTAATCAGCACTGAATAGAAGCTTCACTGGAGTATTTGAATAAATGAAGAGTTAAATGTCACGTTTTTAACTGGATAATTATCTCCACCGTTTTTATATTTAGCGTGTTCTCAAAAAAGTGTAGCAAACCATAGTCGTAGGCCAATTTATAAATGCTCTTGATTTTCTGTACATAAACTAATCCTGGTGTATAGCTTTTGCCTACGCTTTTTACGTTGTTCTGATCGGCTTGTGGAAATAACCTGTTTTTTGTAGGAACCAGCTAAGAATGGAGTAATAAGCTTTCCATTGGTGTATTTATCATCGGAATGATCCATTTGTTGACTTCCACGGAAAAGATTCATTTTCTATGCCGTCGAATTAGAAACAAAGGAAAATGTCAACCTACAACTAGCTTCAGGCGAACACAGAGACTGAATACATATACATGCATAACCACTTCGTGTACAATGTTGCAGGAGCCAACTAATTAATAACTAAGTAAATGTTAATAACGTGTTAGACTGACCTATGATTCTTAACCTGATTTATTTTCTTCAAATTTCCTGACTGTTTAGTTCAAGCCGATATAGTGTGCATTCTGTGTAGCCTACAGTTAAACGTTAGAGGCTCATCCTTCCTCACAGGTAAATCCAAAATACATGTTTTACGTTGAGTACGATTCTAAGTATGAGGATTGTAGATATGAACTGCACAAAATATCTAGGCTAATAACATCACCAGCCTATACAACGGAAAGATTTATTTGACGAAAATTAGCAAGTTCAAAGCACGTTAAAGGAAAAGTATGTCTCCGACAAACTAGGGACTTAATTTTGTCAATTAAGAACTGACGGCTCATAATCAGTCAGCTAGACGTTTCATGTAAACCTTGGGCTGTGGAATTATCAAGAAATCGATCTTTGGGGACGGTAGACACTTTTCTCAATAAAAAAGAACACTTCCAACAATCGATTGGGATTAATGTCAGTCAGTCAGTCACAACGTAGATCTTCGTACGTACGTACATCAGTTCCAGTTGCCATACCACATTAGCACAGAGATGCAGTTGTCGATTCAAATCCCATAGTGGTAGAAGTAGTAGGAGTATAATCAGAAATCCAAAAGATTAGGGTTTGAAGAAATTATTGAAGGAGTATAGTACAGTGAAATAAATTTGGAAAGAGAAAAAGATAAAGACATGAGGAATTCAGAAGATTAGAATTTGGTAGAACACAAAGAGTGGATGCATCTTCGCCATTGCAAACGATTTTGAGCCATGTCATTCAAGGTCTCTAACCATCGGTTACTGTCATCTCGCGAATCCCAACCAGGTAGTCTACACCTACCAACATGGCTCAGTCCATATGTCAGTGACTTCATGCATTTGTGCCACGTTTTGTTCTGACCGCCCCTAGCTTTCTTTCAACCTACTCCTACATCATAAAACCTCGCACTTTGGGAAAGTTGGTGGATGGGCGTACGTAACACATGTCCCAGCCATCTCAACTGATGAAGTTTCACTACTTCATCAATCGATTTGCCATCCCTACCTAGTACTCGTTTCCTAACAACTGCATTACTTACCCAGTGGTCCCAGGATATACGAGCAACGCTTCGAAGACACCTATGATCAAACACTAGTAGTCTACGAATATCCTCTACTCTTATTGGCCATGTTTCACTGCCATAAAGTAGGACGGAGCGAACTGCTGCACAGTAAACCCGTCCTTTGGTTGCTAGACGGATATCTCGCCTACTCCATAAATGACGCAAGTTGGCGAAAGCTAGACGAGCCTTCTGTATCCGTGCTGAGATTTCGTCGCACACCAAACCATAAGGGCTGATGAGACTCCCAAGATAAGTGAAGTGGTCTACACGCTCAACTACTTCACTCCCTATCATTTTTTCAGGTGTCGCTGCAACCCAATCCTGAAGTAACATTTTGCACTTCGAGGGAGAGAATCGCATCCCGAACATGCCTGCATAGTTGCTTGTAGTGGTCAGAAGACTCTGCATGTTGTCAGCGTCTTCACCGAGTAAAACTATGTCGTCGGCGTATTTTAAGTCAACAAGTGAGCCTCCTGGTAAAAGTTCAACTCCTGGAGGTTTAGCTGATGAAAGTGCTATCTCTAAAAGTATGTCAATGACAAAGTTAAACAAGAATGGGGAGAGTGGACAGCCCTGACGAACGCCACTTGTGGTAATCAGTTCTGATGACAGTTCGCCATAGGCTCTAACTCGACCAGTTGTGTTCGAGTAGAGAGCCTTTATGAGGTTAATGTACTTCTTTGGTACTCCTTTTAGTGACAAACATTACCATAGAACCTCACGATCAACGGAGTCAAATGCCGCCTTAAGGTCATGAAATATTACTATTGTGGGACGTCTGAATTTGTGTCTATGTTCTAGAACCTGACGTAGGGTGAATATCTGGTCTATGCAACCACGTCCAGGTCGAAAACCAGCCTGGTTTTCTCTAGTCTGCTCTTCACGAGCTTTGGTTAGGCGACCTAGTATTATTGAAGCTAATATTTTAGACACTATGTTAGTCAAACTGATCCCTCTGTGATTGTCACAGGAGGACTTTTGTCCTTTCTTATAGACTGGCACAATCAGTGATTGGGACCAGTCAGATGGAATTACGTCCAGTTCCCAGATTCTACCTTAGACCTCAGTCAATCTCACTGTTAGTACTGGACCACCATCCTTAAAAATCTCAGGGGTCAACCTGTCAGGGCCTACTGCTCTCCCTCGCTTCAGATTCCCTACAGCTTTTTCAACCTCACAGAGGGTTGGAGGACTTACATCAATTTGCCATTCA